ATTTATCTGATCAAATGGAAAAAATATCCTCAATAAAAAGCAAAATTATCCAAAAGTTATATTTATAACTTTATAAATATTAAAAAATATCTAAAAATACTAAAAGATGCCCTAAAATTGTCAAGGGTCTGATGATAACAAATATATTTTAGGCTACAAGTTTGTTCACTCATAGTATCGTCCGTCCATGTACTTCTGTAATCCACATATATACACAATATAAACTTAAAGAAAAATACTTAAAAAATCCTTAATGCTTTCTCTTTGATGGCACCTCCCAATACTAATAGAACTCAAACGCAAGTATATATCTCAGTTGTAGACTTAAACAGACTGAATAGGGACTCTCTTTCTCTCTCTCTCTCTAAGATTAAATATACTGATCGTAGCATATAAAACTTAAATAACAGCGACGCGACCGTCGTATCAAACATCCGGCAAGGTAATATCGAATTCGTCAATGTGTATTTTGTTCTAATACTTCCGAGCAAAAACTATCATTCGTCTTCAAGACTTCCTCCCGCCACCACGACAGGCGATAGGAAGACTATCCCAAAGCATTACAAGATTTTCCCGTGCCACTTTCGTCACGATAACATCATTCTAAATTCTAACTCTATGTATATGTATGTACACAGGATTCGGATTTTCAGACTAACAGACTCTACTTGATGGATTTGCTAAATAACGATTTGGAGATAACGGGTTACATCAGAGGTCGTTACATCGCATGGAATTGATATTACTAGTGTAAGGGTTGTTGCTATGATGGTGTGATGGCCTGTGCAGGGTGCTGCTTATCGTGAGAGGACCTACCATGTGGCCGGGTCTTGCCCACGTGTACACGTATCCGTCCTGACACGCCGTCACGAAGCAATCTTCCCTAAACACTAATTCAGTCAGCCTCTCGTGCGCCAGCTTCTTACACACCAGCGGCTCGAGAACCGGGCACTCGTCGAACCTGGGACACCAGGCGGTCCCTATCAACCTCATGGGATCGTCCATCACGGAACTAACCTTTTTATTCCCCATTCCACCTACTAAACCCCCACCGACACTGTTGTTCAGACTACTACTCGTCGTATTCGTCGAGTTTCCAGTGCTCGTCTTATCGCCACCATTGTTTTGCACGACTGTCGTCGTGCTGTTGTTGGCCGTCGTTGCCGCCGCCGCCGCACCAGTGCCTCCACCTCGCATAGTGAGACTAAAGTTTCTCTTGTGATTATCACCTTTACGTTCGCCAAAACCAAGACCCGCTAGCCTCTGCGTCAACGAATTCACGGTCGCCACTGCGGCGTTCGTGCTCGTACTATTATTACTATTTTCGTTATTACCACTCGCGTTCTCTTTGAAGTTTACATTATTCGAGTTATTATGTTTAGTATTCGAGTTCGAGTGATGATTCGCCGTCGCTGCCGTTCCGTTACCACTATTAAACGTACCCGAAGACGACAGGGTTCCGCTGGTAGCACCCGTTACAGAGGATCTCTGCTTGGCGCACACAGGTTGCCTCAATACGTCTTCCGTGATGTCCCACAGACACAGCTGAGTGTCTTGGGATACACTGCCCAATCTGTAGCACGTACCCCCCGACATTCTCAATTCCGAGCCACAGGAGTTACGGTTCGAGTGGCCGCCACCGCCGCCCTGCGAGGTCGTAGAAAGACGGTGCGACTTCTCATGGAAGTGATTGTGATTGCTGTGTGGCATCGTTGTCTCGTCATCCGAGCCGCTAAAGTCAGGATCGTGATCGCCGTAGGACGTGGTATACGGATCAAAGGCGACCACGCTCACCCAACTGTGATGGCCTTGTCCCCGTGCCACGACGCGTTTCTCGTGGAAGCTCCAAATGGTCACCAAATCGTCCTCGCCGCCGACCACCACATAACGTCCGTCCGGTGACCAACACACGCACAGAAAGCCACCAAAATAGCTCCTTGCCGAACCAACCAACTCCATGGTGTTGTATTGAAAAACGCGTAAAAATCCATCCTGAGATACCACGGCCAGATTTGTGCCACAAGGGCTGAAGGCGAACTCGTTTATACAACAACCTTCCGCGCCTATCACCCATCGATACAGCGGATTTCTCGTGGATTTAGTCTTGCAGGTATATATGGCGTATCCATCACCTGACTTGAATGACTGATAGTGAGGCGCTGTGGTGCCACAGAGCAGCTCTTCGTTATAAAGATACAGTTGACCAGAACTGTGAGAAACCAGAAATAGGTTGTTCGAGCCAGGAACCCACTTTATGCATGTCACTTTGCTCTTGTCTATCAGCCTCTGAAATATAAATATTCTTTATTGAAAAAAGATAGAAGTATAGAAAAATATATTCACGTGCGTATCAAGACAAAACATAATTAATATTAAAAAGTTAATATTAATAAGTTAGATAAAAAATTTAGAGATAAATAATTTTTTAGATTGTTATTTCAAAGTTAATTGATAAATAAACAAATCAATATGTAATTTGAAAATAACATTGGGTAGTAGAGGGTTAAAAGAAGACAAGTATTAAATGTATACACATATCTCATGAAATATAATGATTAAACAAAAATAACGAATCAGTTGACACATTTATTGACACCAAAATGTATTTAAAATAGACAGCACAACTGTTCCACCAAAGCCTATATCTGTTATGAGAAGATAGCGGAAAGTTATGTAATGTTGCTTGCTGAGCTTAATTATTTGATTGAGTTATAATTGAATTAGTGTGTTGGTCTACCGGCAAAAAGTAGCCTGGACAATATGCTATTAAATATTAAGTACAGTCATTATAAGATGTAATAGATGGTATTAACCACTGAACTAGCATTCATTTTCCATTTTATCATATTTCAATAAGATAACATACACATATCACAGAGATTGGATAAGTGTCGACAGCTTTTGTACACATTACTAGGAAAGTATGATGATATATACTAGTTGCATAAAGAATATTGTTTGAACTATCAGATTATTTATCTCAATGTAAGCTAGATTGCAGATATAATGCAGGAAATCATAAAATTCTCTCTCTGGCTAATAAATGCAATACAGGAGAGAAATTTTCTTCACGGATTAAATGTCTGATAAAAAATTTATGATTCATGCAAAATTTAATCTTACGTACATCTTCATTGTATAATTTGCTGAGTTCCTTCTTTATCGGATCAATCAACTGTATCTGCCCTGTAGAAAATCCCACCAATAATGGAGCACTATCAGCTGTTGCTGTTGTTTGATTAAAATTGTGGCAAGTTGGATTAGTCCCTTTGTATAATTTTTTATCCACTGGTTTGTTCAAGTCCACAGCCTGAAATATCAATTATTTTCTTATTTTAAAAATGTCTCAGAAATAAATTCAAATGCTGTCTCTATGTAATAATTTATTCTTAAAGAAGATCTTCATAATAAATCAATCTCGTCTGATTACTCTTCTGTCTTTGATTTCATATATATGTACGTGAATGATTTAAATACTAAGAATTATGATAACATGCAAGTATTATCTGCAATTATTATGTACGCGATTACAAAGTACTCTGGACACTTCCAAGAAGTGTCAGCTCAAGTGTGTGCCATGACGTCAAGACGTCATCTCGTTCATTCGCGAATAAAAAACGCGGACAACAATGACTCCATGCGAATCAACTCCACAAAAATTGTCGACGTCGCGTTTCTCGTCACGTAGGACGCGACGTCTTCGTGCAAGGCGTGGTGATGAGCCAACCGCAAAGATGGAGTCCCCACCGCGGCGATATTTGCGAGGTTAGGTCGCGACGACGGTCCGCGATCGGCGAGTTCGATCCCGTCGCGCGTCATCGTCATCGCGATCAACGAGGAGTCCGCGGACTCACCTTCTTGACACCGCGGTAGACGTAAACGTAGAGCTCCTTGCCGAAGTTGAAGCACATCCGATCGCCGAGACCCTGCGCGCCCGTGGGATCCGCTGGGTCCGGCAACGTAACGAAGGAAACCCTGACAGACGCGCTGCCCTGGCTATTGGTGTAGCCGACCCGGTTCGGTCTCGAGTACTCCGACAGGGTCATCAGTTTATAGGTTCCCTCCCGCGTGACAAACTGTGTTTTCAGGTCCTCCTTCCCTCCTCCGTCCAGCTGCACAGCCATCTTACCACCAGCAGCGGCGCGGCGGAGGAGCTCATCAGATACGCAGGGAGAATCGTTCGTAGGCCGCGCTCGTTTCTATGCTCGTTGCTACTGCACCACCTTCGTGTGCAGCCACCGTCCGTTCGTGTCGTCCGACCGATCGACCGTCCGTACCTACGTCCGCCTCTCGCCGTCTCGCGTGTGACTCTGTGACTCCCCTCGCTCGTGCGCCCCGTGCCCCGTGCCCGTGCGCTCGGCGCTCGTCCGTAGGAACGCGAACTTTACGCGCGTGAAGCTGGCTCCGCCGGCCGTCGAGTGGTCGAGGGCCGGCTGCTGTCAGTGCCACGCTTCGCGCTGCCACTGGGAGCCGGGGGGGGGGGGGGGGGGG